GAACCTGCTGCACTTTGTGGCCTGCTTCATCATCACTTTCACTACTAGAAGATGAACTAGAGGCTGATGAAGGTTCTTTGATATCTGAATCTTTCCTCATGCTTCTGGAAGATGAATTTGACTCCGGTAATGGAGCAGTGATGTGTGAATGCTCTTTGATTTGGCTTTTTCTGTCTATACTTGAGTGTACTTTGGAATCTGCTTCACTGTCACTGCTGGAAGAGGATGAATCTTTTATAGATAGTGAAGGTGCTTTGGCGTCCAGATTCTTATTCTGACTGGTATCCGAATAGACATCACGCCACTTTGTCCGCGGCTTTGGTTTAACTTTCACTGTGCTATCTTTATCAATTTCTAGCTTAACTGTGTGCTGGTCTGGCTCCTTATCACTGTCACTGGAATCGGAGGAAAACGAGTGCTCTGGTTTCACTGCAGGCTTGATTTGCTGGTCAGAGTTGGCTTTGTAAAGTGTAGACTCATCCTCACTGCTGTTTGAGCTGGAACTGGACACAGAATCCCGCTTGTGTTTTTTGGAAGGGGTTGCCACAGTAAGTTTTGACTTATTAGAAGAACCAATTATACTGCCTGACCTGGGAGATGGACTTTGAACAGAATCACTAAATTCAAATAGTTCTTCATTCTCCTCTAAATAACCAGGGTCTGTTGTGTGTGGTGACCATGGCTCAGAGGTAAATCCAGGCATTTTACTTTTGCCTTCTAGTGATCTTTGTGGCACCTCTTCTTTTGTAAGTATTGAGAAATCAGTTTTCTGTTGAAAAGGGTCCTTTGTCATCTTAGGAGCCTTAGGCATTGTGTGGTGCTCTTTGAATTCTTTTTCAGATAGTGAAGAATCAGAGCTTGAAGAAGATAGGCTTCTCTTTTCCTCTAGTTCAACAGGATCTGGGATGGGTTCAAACTCCATGTTGTGCCTATGTCCAGCAGTAGTGTGATCTCTGCCATCATTTAGTCTACCCTCTGAATTGCTCTGATGTGAGCTACTTTCATTTCCTGAATCTTCAGGAGTATGTTTAATATTCTGAGCCTCACTAACTTCACAATCAATCACTACATCATTATTGATGCTTTCCGGATTGTCACTGACTACAGTATCATAGTACTGTACGTTGCCATGTTCTCTGTAGTCTACAGTGGTAAATGTGACTCTCCTTTCCCTGTGATGTCCTGTCCTTTCTAGTTCCTCTCCAGTGGAAAAGGCCTCATTGTCATATTGTGTTTGTTCTACAGAGACTGCAGAGTTAGTTTCACGGGACCGTGTATTGATGTTCTTTTCGGTGACTCTTTTCCAAAGAGCATCAATACACGGTCTTGCAAGGACTCCAAGGATAAAGGCAATTAGAAATGTGATGAAAATAGATAGACACACAGCCAGTGCCAAGTCAGACTGAGTAACTGCTCCAGCTCCTGGACTTGTCCCATTACGTACACTCTTTGTGGGGCCTGCTTGGATTATGTATTGGCTGGTTTCAGACAAACTTCTAGGTTTTCTTCTTGCACCACCTATTTTACTGATTTGGAGGTTAAAAACAGACACAACCTGTTTTTCTTTAGACACACACACATACAGTCCCGTGTCACTCTCTGTGATGTCACTGATGAGCAGACCACCATCAGACTGGTTCACAGACATTTGACCATTGGGCGTCCACCACACTGAGTCTGGAAAAGATCACATTGATATGCAGTATTATCAGTTTAAATTGCTAAATATGCATTAAACATTTTTGCATCATTTTGATGTATTACCTTCTGCTGAACAGGACAGCAGTATCTCAGAGCCCCTGTGGACTGTCACATCCTGATGGAGCTCTGGGATGTTACCAGTACTGAGGCAGTTCAGTTCATCATCCTGCAGCTGAAGCAGATCTCTGCCTGAGAGGGTGGATGGAGAAGCACACATGATGCTCCAGACCTGCAGGCCTCTGTTGCTGTCAAAGGCTATCCGCCGTCTTAGACTGTGCATCCTGCAGTCACACTGCCACCTGTTTCCAAGCAGCCTAACTTCTGTTCCAATGTTTTGCAGGGTGAGGTACATTAAAGGATGGATGCTGGTCAACATGTTGAAGCTCAGATCTAGGACCTTTGAGGGCAATATTTATGATGAGTTTGACTGGCAAAACAAATTGCAATTTAGATATTGACATTATCAGTTAGTTAGAGTAGGCATCAAGGTTTTAAGTCTAGCTTTTGAACAGATATCTGAAAAACAATCACCTGTATTTACACAAAAAGGCCCCAAAATACAAAAACAAACAACAACAACAACAACAACAACAAACTGTCTTACTTTGAGCTGTGGTAAATCCTGAAACATCTGTGGATGGAGACTTGTGATGAGGTTATGTTGTAAGTGTAACTCTTTCAGTTGCTGAAGATGGCTAAGTTCTCCCAGTCGTAGAGTTGAGATCCTGTTGAAAGAGAGTTGCAGAACCTCCAAGGATTCAATACCCTCCAGCCCTGAATGACAGAAAATCAGAGTTGCATTTAGAGATTACTGGGTAGCTCCCATAGACAGCAAGACATGTATTCTGTATTCCAGATTTTCAGTAATAACAACAAGTTTGTCTGGCTCTTGTCCTCTCTGTCAATTTGCTTGCAGGTCTGCCATATTAACACGGCTGACATTATATAATGTGAAACATAAGCCTCAATCAGTGTGGAGCTCATCAATGAAAAACAAAATCAAATTGTTTTGTTTTCACAATGAATAGTGTTACAATATGTCTATTTATGGCCATTTTCTGCTGGCTCCTCCTTTTCAGTAGAGACAATCTCCCTGAGACTGCTGTGCTGAGGAAAAGCACTGTGGATCTGTGCTTCATTAGAGAGGCACTGAAGGTTTTGTGATCTGAATACCAAATAGAACAGGGTCTATGATTGTCAACAGAGCTCTTGCTAAGTAAATAGGCGGTCTATACATTCCATTAGAAGACTTATAGTGAATGCTTTCCTTTGAAACACTCACATGTTCAACCAAGGAGAAAGAGGAGAAACATGACAATGCCCAGGAAAAGTGGCATTGTGTGATTCACAACATTCCACAATTTCATTGTACATGTATAATGACACTAAAGGGCTGTTCTGTTGTATTCTATTTCCACCTTTTTAGGGACTGGTTGGAGGCTGTACAGGGGAACTACGTGCGGTGGTTTATTTCTGCCTGGAGCAAAGTACTAAAGATAAAGCATATCAGTGGGGTGGTTTGTTTATATGAAAAGAACAGTAACTGACATGCATAAATCTCACAGATTTATTACACTATGGACTTTGAGGTAAACCCACCTGAACATGGTGGCAAGGTGGACCAATCTTTCCAGTGTGACTCATGGACATTTCTCAATGACATTCCATGAGGAAATTAAAGGTGTGCCTTTAAGGAGTGTGCAACTTTACCATTATATATTATTACCTAATATTAAAGATAACAATAAGTTATGGCCCAATTAACTAGTGTGAACAAATTGTCTCATAATCTGGAAGTCTGGATTCTGGAAGTCAAAACACTTTTAGATGTTTACAAGAGACTTGCATGACTAGTTCCATACTGAAGGTTAAATTTAATATGTCAGTTTTTCTACCACCTGTTTATGTTCCACCCAAGATAACAGTCAGCCATAGTCATGTAACCAACCTCAAAATGTACTGGGTGTGGTTTATGAATACTATGTAATATTGTTATATCGCTGCAATTTGCAAGACCAGTATGTTAGGATGGGTTGCTACTCATATTGGCTGAGAATTGTGCTGATATTAATGTCTAAGATTTTGTGATTGTAGTTTGTAGGATTATTAAATTCTGCAGTATGTGCAAGTTCAACAGAATTGTAAAGTACAGTAAGCATATTTACTAAAGCACTGTAATGAAGAGCAGTTTTCAGGTAGTTTTACTTTTGCTTGAGTCAACCTTCTTCTCTTTATACTTACATTTCATTACATTTTTGTGGGAAATGTTACACTTGTAGTGGATTGTTATAAACAAATGGTTGACACATTAAAGGAAAATCTTTAACCTTTGATCCTACTGTAAAACGAAAAGTGGCTTCTTACTCTGGGAGACGTATTTTGCTTACATGGTTTGATTCCCCTTACTAGGAAGGTTTTCTCAAGAGAGTGATCTCTTTCAGGATGATAATATCAACAAAAAATGTGCATTATGGACTCAAAATGACACATGAATATTAAATGGATGTTAACTAAACTAAACACCAAACAATTCTGGAGCAACAGTGTTAGAAAGCATTCACTGCTATCATCATTTGGACACCAAATGATATGATGGATTTAAAAGTAATGATTTTTCATCCTTCGAATAGATACCTGTCGAATCAATGCTAAACACGTATATTTTTTTCCCTTACTAAGAAGCTGCCTTGAGTTTTACAGCAAAAATTAGCTACAAACTTAAACTGCTGCTAATGTTATGCACGATCTATTCGTGCTAAATTGTACTTTTTATAATTTTTTTTCCAGTTCTTTCTTATTACAGCAGTTTAAATATTTTCCCTTGCATGAGATGAAAGTTTGATGAAAATTCACCAGAAAACACAATTCTTCTATAGCAGATGAGTGTTGTTGAAGCACCGGGAAATACTGCACTGCATATATAATGCTAAGTGATATTGAAATCTTTTAAAACACCTGCAGATTCACCTGACAGTGAAATTACTTTTAAATGAAATTAATTAAATTTTTCAGGTTTTCAGTTAGTGCTGACTGGTAGCAGTTTTTATCCGTGTGAAAATGTGTATGTTTATGTGCTTTGACAGTGTTTTATTTATTAGTTTACAACCATATAACACTGACTCACCCTCTGGGAGTTGGCGTAGCTGATTCATCTCAACAGAGAGCAGCTGCAGGGTGGGGGCCCAAGATACACATTTCCGTCTGGTCCAAGGTCTTGAGCGATATTTATCTCTAAGATGTTGACCACCGAGGTTTCCTCCAGTGCACAGGGACAAACGTGTGATACTGTTGTTTCCCAGCCACACACTCCTGAGGTTATAATGTGGCTGGTGAAATGTTACAGATTTGAGGAGGTTATGAGAAAAGTCCAGCTCCGTGACAGAGTCCTGGATGTGCTGGGGCACCGAGGAAAGGCCAGCTGAGGAACAGTTCAACAGGAAAGCACTCTGACAGGTGCAGGACTGCAGACATGCAGGTGAGGAAGAGGAGCAGAGAAGCGAAGACACAAGGACTAACACAGCGGCCAAAAAAGGCCCCTGCGGTGCTGCCATCACAAGCTGCCCTGAGAGTACAGATTGTCACATTGCACTTAGAAATAAATTAAAAAGGAAGAACTATTTTTGCTTCACAGATAGGTTTAGATTAGCATTCACGGCAATAAAAATGAAGCTATTACATGAACATGAGGTCTACGTTATAATAGGTGATGAGCCCAACCTAAACACTATGCAATCTGAATATGTAAGTTTATTTTTTTGAAAGACAACCTAATGGACACACATCTAAAAGTATTTATATATTTACCCATAAAAGGTTTTTCTCTTTTTCTAAAACCTCGGGTTAGGCTCATCACCAGTGATGGGTTAAAAAAGGTTCAATATAAAAGTAAACACACAGTAAATGAACTGAAGACTCACCTGTGCATCCACTCTTTGCCAAACTGACATGAAACCTTGTGACTCTTCACACCCGGAGAGCTTTACTTCAGCTGTCTCAAGCAAGTTCTGATCGAAGTCTGAGGTGTATTTTGCTGCGTCTAGCTTAACACATCCCTGCCCAAAGAAGCTGCTCTGCGATTCATTCAATCATTTACACATCTGGTTAATGTCTTACTGTCACAGTCTTACTGTGATGGTGTAAGTTTATGGCGAAGACCAAACCTTCATACTTTGCATTCTATTAGACAATAAAGCGCTATAATGAGGCGCAGTACGCTTTTATGGTTTTAAATGACCGTGGGCGCATTTACTGAAACAATGATAACACTTTTCACATAGCAACACATTTCTTTATTGAAACAAACATGCCAATGAAACGTTGGACAAATTTCCAAATAAGGCTGGTCGCAATATTTATTTCTTCGGTTTTTCTTCGATCAAATAAGCTGTTCTTTCATGACAGGCATGAAGTCTGTGCTCTGAGAACAACTATTGACGTTAACATCAGTAATCGTTAACATCAGTTGACAACAGACAAGACAATCCAAAGCAAAGTCAAATATTATATATTATATTGCACAAAATTCAAACAACCCCATATAGGTTGTACCCACAGTAGCTGATGAACTAAAATTCTCAACATTTGCATTAATCTGTAGCAGAATGTAGTGCACACTGTTTTTTCAATATTGTATTCTTCTGTTGTTAAAAAAGCTTTTGCAACAAAATTAAAATATTACACATATATCTAATGATATATAGTCCCTTGTATATCCATTGGCACGTGCATGATAAACAGCCCGAGATATGCAGAAAGAAACCTACTCTGCTTTAGCATCACTGGATGGCTTAAAATGTATCATGTATAACAATTTATCATTAACTCTGTGCATTGCATTACCTGCAAGTTTTACATACATCATTACAGTCGTGTAGTGTCTTCCACATGTCAGCTAATATGACAGAAAATATCACACAGCTGCCCGGAATAATGAAACGGCAAATGGGATCTTAGACAAACCCCATATAGGGTTTTTATATTATTAATACTGGACGGCAAGCCAAAAAAATAAATATTGTATCTGCTCATTACTGCTAAAGGGGAGTGAAAACAATAATAATACCAATAAAGCATACATGAGACACTACATGTATAAAGGCTAATTTACACTATCTCAAAAACTGACATAGATTTAACTCAGAGGATTGAAGGAAGAACTATTTAAAGTTTACATTTTTTGATCTTGTTTAGCGCCATCTTGTGCCAGTACAGAACACGACATCACCGGGTTGGTTGGTTGCTAGGGGTGCAACAATACTCGTATCGATATTGAACCATTCGATACAGTGCTTTCGGTTCGGTACGCATATGTATTGAACAATACAAAATTTTTAATTTATTTTATCAACTTTCCTTCTGACGATGCTGTCTGTGTTGAGCGCTCAGTGGATCTGCGCTCGACAGTGCAGCCTAGGCGGAGTAGTCGAACGCAGATTCACTGAGCGCAGGGCAAGCTAGCGAGACAGAAGTTAAGCTCTCCTTGCAACATGGCAAATTGAACCTCCCCACCCTCATTCAGATCTGGCGTTTGGAACTATTTTGGTTTTCATGTGACGTATGACCCTGTATGGACAAAAGTAAAACAGTATGTTGGATGTGCCACGCAATGCTCAATTACATTGGTGGGAACTAGTGCGTTAGCGCAGTTAGCTCGTTAACGTGTTGGCTGTCCAGCCCCACGCACGGGGCGATCCGCGGTAGCTCGTTAACGGAGATTTGCCGTGTTGTGGCGTTAACGTCATTTCAACGAGATTAACGCTGACAGCACTAGTGGGAACACAACGAATATGACTGCACATTTACGCCGACATCATCCTAGTGCAAAGACAAGTGGAAGCAGACAAAAACAACAAGCATGCATGCTACAAACTTTACCCGAGTCATTTAGACAGCCGTTAGCACATGATTCTCCTTATGGGGACCTGATATGTTTAATATGCTGCTGAGAATATAGCCCAGAAGAAGCGTATAGTATAGCTTTTATTTTGGAAAGAGCCATTTCTCTGTAATAAACTCTCTTTTCCAAAGATGAGTGATTTCTCGATCAGATAGATTTTTTTTTATTACTTTGTTGTTTCAGCAACATTAAATTTAAAAACTGTACTTTTGAGTTAAAATATATATTTATAATTTTAATAAATGACAAATTAAAAAAGCATGAACATTTTTTGTATCGAAAAAATATCGAACCGTGACACCAAAGTATCGAACCGAACCGTGAATTTTGTGTATGGTTGCAGCTTATAGACTTACATTAGCTTATGTTAGCTAACTAGTAACCAGTAACTCAGGTGAGAATAAGGACACTAAAACTAAAAAGCAGTCTAAGGGTATCACTTTTGTGCTGTCCCTGGCTGCAACAATAAATTTTATCAAAAAAAAACAAAAACAAGGCTATATTCAGTTTCACTTTCTGTCTCTTAAGCAATAAGTGGTTCCCTTGTTGTTTGGCTAGCTGCATTGAAACAGTAAAATCCTCCTGTTAGGCACAGTAGGTGACCAACACTCGTTTACAAAGGTTTATAAAGCACTTTATGAATGAGGACTGTGTGGAGGAGACCCTGTTTGAGTCAGGTGACAGGTGGTTCACCAGACCGACACGCTGCTGTCCGATACCGCACCGTTTCTTCAGTAGGTGAGTGTACCTAGAAGCACAATCAGCTGGCAAAACAGATGTTTGCAAGATGCAATCAGCACTATTTATGCAATAAAATAGTCTCTTTTCCTATGCACATCCAAACAGTTTACAACACAACATACATAAAAACATACATAAATTTTATTGCATAAATTTGATCGCAGGTTGTGGCCTTTAACTGATTGCGCTGCTAGGTACATCTGGCCAGACGAGGAAAAAAACCTGAGTTTCTAACACCAGCTTGTTGGTCTGGTAAAACAACCTGTTACTTGACTCAAACAAGCTCTCCTCCACTCAGTGCTCATTTAGAAAGTGCTTTATGAACCCAAACATTACAGATAACAGGTGGATTTTCCTGTTTCAATGCAGCTAGCTAATTAACGAAGAACCAATTACTGCTTTAGAGACAAAAAGTGAAATTGATCAGCATTTCCTTGGTTTTTTTAACATAAAATGCATCATTGCAGCCAGGGGCAATAAAAAAGTGATCCCCTTTGATCCCTGCTTTTTTTGGTTTTAGTGTCCTTATTATCACCTGAGTTACTGGTTCTGTGATTAGTTAGCTAACATAAACTAATGAAATGCCCTGGTGATGTCATGTTCTATACTGGCACCAGATGGCGCTAAACATTTTCAAAAAATGTAAACTTGAAACATTTATTTCTTAAATCCAGCTTCCCAGAGAGAGTTAAATCTAGTTTTTGAGAGTAGGGCTCCATAGTGTACATTAGCCTTTGTACGTGTAGTGTTTCATGTCCTACTATATAGAAGTAACATAGACTGATATCATCTCAAGTTGGCAAATCTGCAGAAAAATAAAATACTACGGTTTTTATCTTTGGCCAAGTGGCAAAAATAATAAGAAACACAGAATTTGACACATGACCCACAGAGATATTATGCCCAAGCCATTATGAATGTCCTATATATTAGAGCTCCACACTATCAAAAATAAATTTGAAAGTGGTTTATCTGAATTCAGTGTGGACTGATTGAGATGCAATAGCAGATTCCAGTCCTAGTGAGCCTTCTTACATGGGTTATCTAAAGTCTGGCAGCCCATGTTGGTAAATTTCACCCGCACACGGAACAGAGTTCCATCTTCACACATGCAGAGCTTGTACCTCTCCTGACCTTCATTGAAATACAGATCTCCTGCAGAGTTAGGAAAACGCGTGGCATTGAACATGACCGATCCATTGAGCACGATGCTGTTCTCCTGCGAAGACAAATCATCATTACTCATCGATCTTCTGGCCCTTTACTCGATCGGCTTTATTGTAGGAAAAATTCCATACTCACAGCTCTGAGCTCAATGTTTCCACCCATTTTGAACTCGATTGTCCGACCCATGATGTTGACCCCTTCGTTACCACGAATGATGGCAGAGTCTCCTTTAATGTTCAGGTCAGATGCTGCATTACTGGTGATCTAAAAGTCACAGAGAGAATATGAAGTTTAGAATATAATTTTATGAGCAGCAACACAAGACTGTTAACAAAAAAGTTAAAAAATAAAATCAAATAAAAACGATATTGTGAAAGACATTTTTAACGAATATTTTTTCCTCCACTTATTAAATGTGATGCAGCATGGCTGCAAATATCTCTTAAGGCTACTGTATGGTCACTAAGCAGTTTATTACACAGTATAATGTGAAAATAAATAGCACACTATGTGCACACTCTGTGCTGGGCCTTTTCCAGCTAGCCTGGATGAGGAGGGAACCCCCCGCTCAGCGCAGCCACATGTGCCTGAGGTGTGACCTGGGCAGTTAGCCAGTGAAATTTGCTTCCTCTGTGATGCTGGCAACTTTTCCATTTTTGGCTTGTGGTAATACAATTGTGTTCACTGTGGTCAACTGACAGTTTCTTGTAGATCTAGTGGCATTTTTATCAGAAGTTTAATCATTTACAAAAGTGTACACAAAAGTTTATTGTTACTAAATTTAACAAATATGCATCTTTTGACATCTTCAAGTTAAAAATTCATAGAAAATAAAGAAATATAAATTAAATCTTTTTTGCATGTTATTGTAGAAGTTTAGAAAGTTTAGGAAAAAAGTAAAAAATTAATTTTTCTAACTTTAGCTGTGTTTTTGGAACCTGCGTCACAAATATGTCGCAAACCTATTTGTTTGTGATTATTTATTCTGAATCTTTTGAAAGGCACCACTGCTTGGAATTCAGCTCTGTTACGGATTTTCTTGAAACTTTGTTTAGCAGCTTTGCACACCTGTTTTTTCTGTCAGGTTCTCTCAGCCTCTGATAAACTGGAGTCATGGTGAACTGTAAACTTTATATCCCTCCATAGACTTTCGAGATTTTCAGATTTAAATATATTTCTTTAGAATAGTCCAGTTTTGTTTAAACTTTCACATGATGTGGCGTCTATGAATGTTTAGATCTGAAGTAGATTTGTGAAAACAACTTTCACAAGGTTAAAAGATGAATTCATAACTGAGCCTTTCTTCTGTTTACACTGATGAAGTTCAGCATCTTCATGGGGACTTTTCCATGTTCTGTAAATATGCTGTTTTGCTTTACCTTTATGGATTATTAGCTAATGTTTGGTGCAGGTTATAAAACACTGACAGGACTAATGAAATACTTTGTTATTGCACCCATCAGTGAGTTACTGGAAACCGTACACACCCTTTCTGTGGAAGCTTTTTTAACGCTGAGGACTTTGACTCCTTTGGGCAAATGAAACTCGTGGTTTTCAAAGTCAGTGCTGAAGAATGTGGTCTGGGTCCGAGGGTCTGTGAAGGATATGCCGACATCACTGACGATTGAGGTCTTGTCCTTTTCTACGCTCAGCTTTGTAGTGCCTTGCTGGAAGACTACCTGTAGCAACACATGTTAAATAAAAGAGGAGAGTTTTTAATGTGTGTGCATTATGGGCTTTTCTTGTCTTTTTATCGATCCTCAGCTTTTACTAAACTCTGTAACACACTCTGTATTGCTCACCGGGTTGTTGTTACCAACAATGACCAGATCCTGGTCTTTACGGCCTCCTACTGTGCTCTTGTGCAGCGGGTGGACAATACCCATGTCTGCTTTCTGTTTGAAGCGCAGCAGGCCACTCTCATGGAACTCCATACTGTCGCAGCCATTCGGACCGATGCGGATCACTGTCCATATAACCAATGTGATCTGTGAGGCGACAGCATGCACAAAATATACAGATCACACACTAAAAAAAAGCAACACACAGACAAATACACTGATGTTTTAGGTACTCACAATTAAATTAATTAAGGCGAGGAGGAAGAGGATGATGATGATGCACACAGCCATGTTTCCTTTGCGTCCTCTTAGCCCTGTCTTATGAAGACGCTCTTCCTCTATGGGTACATAGCCTGCTTTGAAATTACTGTTGTGCTCCTTGTTGATAGTACGGCGTTCTATGGCTTTTTCTCGCATGGACTTCTTCACTGGCCCATTGGAGCTTTCCTAGAAGCCAGAAAACAAACTCTGAGGTCTAATGCTTACAGTCTTAATAACAAGTAATAACAGATAATAAAACCTGTAATCTATGGTGTAACTGTCCCACATTTACCACGTAACTCTACTGAATTACTTGAAGTACTTACTGTTTCTAAACGTAAACACTTAAAATGTAGTTATAGCAAGAAATGGTAGTAACAATTAGAGAAACTAATTATACTGTAAGAACTTATAAATAAGAAGACCTATGAGTA